AAATTGAGCATCATTCATGTATATCAAAAAAAGGATTGGACCGAGAATAGAACCTTGAGGAACCCCATAAGATATTGTTTTAAGGTTTGAATTAGTTCCATCGACACACACATATTGTTTACGATCTCTGAGATAGCTTTCAAACCAGCTTAAAGTATCACTACTAAGACTGTAATAGGAAAGCTTATCCAGCAAAATATCGTGACTGACAGTATCAAAGGCCTTTGAAAGATCAAGAAAGACACCCAAAGAAATACATCCATTATCAAAGGAATCTATTATTCTCTGAACAAAATCGAGAACTGCCAAAGTTGTATTTCGTTTTTTCCTAAAACCAAATTGATAATCAAATTGATAATCATTTCTTTGTAAAATCTGACTTAACCACAGGGAGCCCGGCTTAGTGATGCTATCGTAACTCAATACACCCATATACAAACGGTCACTACGTAATAGAACACCAGTGTTTGTAACGCGTAACTTAATACCGTAATAAATTCAAATTCAAATACGTAACGGCTAAGTGTAACGCACTCGGGCGTCTAACACTATTGCATTACAAGTTCTATTAGTAGTGACCGTTTGTAATAGGGGTGTATTGAGTTACGATTAWTATGTAATGCCATCAACATATGAAACATGATCGTTTTACGGATTTTGCATCACTAAGCCGGGCTCCCTGTGACTAAACTCGCTTAACACTTACAAGTGACACCGCTGCATTTGCAAGCGGACGCATGACCGGAATAGTTGGCGATGTTTAACGCTTGGCAAGTCAGGCACTCAAGAAATGCCAATAAAATTTGTCAGCCGTATCAATAATAGTCAGACCGCACGGTGCAAGCAGTATTTTGTCGATGAAATAAAATAAATCCCTGAAGAGAAAGACAAACAAATGAAAAAATACAAAAAACAAAAACGAAAGAGAGAAAGCTGGGAAGGAACTATTAAAGAGAAAAACATTACCATATTTTTTTCACATGAATAATTAAAAGAAAAATTAATACGTTTAAACCCTAAAATTTAACGCCGATAAACTATAAATATTAAGTCCATCATGAAAAAATTTAAGAAAATGTAATAAATAGACTTGAACGTCACTACCAAGTCAAAACGAATAAAATAAAAAATAGATGTAAGCGAATGAACTGGAAAGTATAGGTTGTAAAAGAAAACAGAGTCCTTGACCTTTCCTGAATTCGCTTGATAGTGACAAAACAAAAGCGATCAAGTGAAAAGTTTGACACAAATCTAATCACCAAGTATTGAAATTAGGTTTCAGTGGTTTTTTTAAAAAAAATTTGGTTTTGCATTGATGTTCTATTGTCTATACCATGTGTTGGCCAATAGCAATATTCCTGTGTTCCACAACACATTGATGGAGGTGTTGCACGTCAAAAACACCAGAAATTAGGGACCATTTGTCCTTTACCAGGGAGGGGGTGGAGGATTTCATTGGAAAAAAAAAAAAAAAAAAAACGGCTCAAGAGGAGGGGAAGAGGTGAGCACAATACAAAGAATCCGAGTTGCACTGCACTTTCGAGTCGCAATAAACAAAATGGAGAACAAGGGAGGAAATGTTTTTAAATCTAACTAAGAGTCATATTTTTTGTATGGTTTACCAAGTGCATCCCACATCAATCACCACCACCACCACCACCACCAATTAATATTAATGGTCACTAATTTGCACCACACAAATTAGTATATGTAATAGGACTTAAGAAAATAATTGGACAGTTACCCATATGGGATTAATGAGAAGCTGTATAATTAAATTGAAAATATATCAAAATACATCAAAATATTTTCCTTTCTAAAATCATACTACACTTTTGCTCTTTTGTTTTTATTTTATATTTATTTTTTTTTAATTAACAACTGTGACTTCTTTTTAAATTAAAAACTATACCACTTTTTCTTCAATTTGACAGATTTCTGTATAAACTGACTTTAAAACGACACTTCCTCTTATTTTTATGAACTAATTTTAGAATACCTCATAAACTGTTATTATACATAACGAATGATATAGTGAATAAATTTAACAATCAATGAAAACTGGAACAATTTTGTATATATGTATGAATGTTTATATATGAGTTTAAATAACAGTATTCAGGGGCGTAACCAGGAATCTTGCAGGGAGGGTGCACATGGAATGGAAATGGAACTATGTCGAAACTAGAAGCCATCTTAAAAGAAGTATTCCAATGCAATGATTTGCAGAACCAAAAAAAAAAAAAAAAAATCCAATAATATGACTGAGTCAGTGGACCTTCAGCTTTTGCACGGGGGGTGAGGGTGCACATGCACCCACCTGGTTACCCCCCTGGTATTTTCAGTAAAATATTATTTTGTTAATATATACAATCTCTGGAGTGTTGAAAAATCATGATGACCAACTATTTTTTGCAATGACTTCAACATTTGAATTTTTGTTGTTGTTGTTGTTGATGATTTTTCTCTATAGCAATATATGTTTATAATAGGTCAATGAGTGATAAATGGGTCTGAGTAGAGAAAATATAACACCCAAAATTGACAAAAGTATATATTCATTCAACAAAATGAATGAAACTTCCACTAAGGTTTGCAAGGAAGCAAGCAATATTCCCCTTCTGCTCAAATGTCAAGTTTTCTCAATCAAATGCATGGCATTCCTTTAGGAATAAGTGTCTTTCTTAGAGTCTCATTGATATTGATGTCAATATTAAGATTCATTAAGGGAGCAAGTATCGTGACTTCTGAAAACGACCCGAGCAGATTTTCAAATCACTGCCATTCTAGCAGGGCCTACAACACCAAGCATGACAGCACTCAAAAATGCTTCAGCCATGGTCTGACCCCGTAGTAGAATGGAATGGAAATCAATGTGGTTCATTGAATTTTAATGCAAAATATAAGAATTTCCTACCTTAACTTGCTAACTTTCATCTACTTCCTATCTCAGCAATACCTTATCCAACTTTAGTGAATTCGTAATGTGCTGTGAGGAGTTTGGTAATTTCTTCGCACAGGGTCTTCCATTTCTCACCATGTTCCTCAGCGTCAATCTTGTCAGGGTGGTAAGCATTGATTCCTTTTAAAAGGACTTTCTTTAATTCTTTCATTTCCATCTTGGCCCACTTTGCCATATCTTCCTCACTTGGCTTTACCCATTTTGGATTCTTGGGAGGATAAGTGTTATAAACATGAATTGAGATTTCAGATTTTCCAGTGTTGTTCTTTTTGAGGTCTTCAAGCTCTTCTCTTATTTCTTCAAGCTTCTTTTCTCTTTCTTTCTGCTTTTCCTTCTCATCTCTTAGTCTTTCTTCCAACTGGAACTCTTGCAAAGTTGACACACATTGCTGGTACCAATCTTGAGTGAAGAAAGTGCGTGGCTTCATAGACTCTGCAAGCTCAAAGCACTTCTTATAATATTCCTTGGATTTGTACTTGAGCTTCAGGACTTTGTTGTAGACGAATCCTAAATGGCTTAGAGCGATGGCTTCTTGTTCTAAGTCTAGCTCTCTTGTGAGAATAGCAGCTCTTTTGTACCAGTCAATGGCGTCCCACACTAGATTCATGTTGAGGGATTCCTCGTCTAGCGTTGCGATATCCAAAAGCTGATGACCATATTCGCGAGCTTGGATAGACTCAGCTGAACAAGTGTTAAAATAAACGTCCTTTTCAAGAATTCTGATGTCTTGATCGCGACAAAATTCATCGGTATCTCGGTTGAGTCTTCTTGCTTCTTCAATCGGTCGATAGCAGTCCCTCAAACGACTCAAAGCTCCTCTGTAGTCGTTCTGTTGTATCTTCTGCGCTCCGTCATGGAAAAGAAAGGTTGCCAGGTTCAACTGTAGCTCTACGGCGGCTGAATTGACAGTAACAATATCAGTGAACGAGGTTAGTATCTTAAATCTTTCGTCAGTGTCTGGAATTTGCTCACAAACTTGAATCAAGTCTCCCAAACATGTGTTCAAAGTTCTAAGCACATCTTCCCTCCAGTCAACTTCTTTCGCTAAACCTTTATTGTACGCCACACTGAAGGACTTAATCGCTTCTTTAAGGTAATAGATCACTTGAATAGGATGCTCTTTTTCTTCTCGGAGAGTTTTACTAAGATGCCAAGCTGCTTTGCCATGGTTTTTGGACGCCGAGGACAACTCGTCCACGTTGGATGCCAAATTTTCAGCTCTGATGTAAGCCGCCATCGCGCTTTCTAGACGACCTCTTTTCAACACGGGAGAAAGTCCTTGGGCTCCAGCATCGATATAGAGCTTATTCCCTTTAATTCTTTCTTGTAAACTAGCTGATTTTTTCTGCTCCATCTCTGTAATAACTCCTCCTTGTCTTCAAAGATGCTTGAAAGAAGTGGGCAACTCACATGTATTTGTTTGTGTTATCGCTGTCAAACTTGTCAAAGCTACTTCCGGTTACCAGACTTGAGAGAAATTAGTTTTTAAATTTTTCGCAGAAACTGTAGCAAATGAATACAAACAAATACGACAAATAATGAAAGCAATATATCAATTAAAGATTGCTAGCATTTTTTGCTCTTTTAAATATTAAATATTTGAGAAATACGGGTTGTACATGTTGGGAGAATTTTGACCGATATAAAGTAAAACCAGGACACTTTTTCCCGCGCTTGTCATTTTAAGCCAATCAACGGCGAGCTTGCTAGAGTTGTCATTAATCACTCGCACCGGTCTTCTAACCCCTAAATAACGCAGGTTTCCCGAAACAGAAAGTTTTTTCTTTCGGTTGTTCTTTCTTTTTTCCTTTTCTTCTTCTTTTTTTTTTTTGGTCAAGTTTTCCAGGAGTTGGTGTCAAAAATAAAAATTTCAAGTAGCTTTCCAGGACCAAAGGAAATTTTTTCAAAAATTCAGGAGTTTTCTAGGAATTTCAGAAGCACCCTGAACATTGCACGAGAAAAAGCAGAAAATAAAAAGATACAGCCCTAGTTTCACAGTGAGAAGCACATTGCAATTTCCATAAGAAGCAACGGCACAATATGCTTGTTTATTAAAGGAAAACTTTTTTTCTTCATATTATTTACAAGCACATTAAAAGATAATTCATGAACTTTTCAGACAAAGAGATTATTATTTATATGAAAAGAAAACCTTTGATATAAATGGAACAGATATTATTGTATCAAATCATTATATTCATTAACCATCTGTATGAATACAGGGTTCAAAATAACAGCTGATCGTCAGACAATGTCCAACCAGAATTGCAACTTGTCCTGTCAAATCTTTGCCTTGCTGGCCATTTTGAACAGTACAATGAGCCAGAAATAACCAATCCTTGCTAAAAGTAGCTTGGACAGTGATCATTGCCCACCATTATTTTAAACCCTGTAATAACCCATGTGTTTACACATTTTTTGGTTGGGTTTGGTTTAGGGGAGAATTAGTTAAAATGGCATCAGCTCCCTCTTTGGAGAGGACATCTTTAAAATAATGTTGCCTTCACTCTTTTCTAATCTTTGGATCTTTTAGGTTTTTATCAAAATTGTGTAATCTTGCCTTTCAGAAAATCCTGGCTCTGCCCCTATAACATAAAGTATAGACCCGTACTGGACATAACTAGGTTTATTCACCAAATCAAAATATGGCTACCACATCGAATAACTATCTGGACGAGACTGACTAGCCTTGTCTTTACATGGAAACACAAAAGGGTTTTCACATGTATGAGATGCTAGTAAGTTCAGAACAATAGTTATTCAAATTAGACACCATAATTTGATTCTGTACATACTTATAAATAATATTCTGTTAAGATGTCTGCTGTGTGAGAAAGGCCCAAATTTAACTTGATTAAAACTTCTTTTTGGAAATATTAGAATTCATTTCAGTTATGAATTTGTTTCTGATTGTCTGGCTTTACTTAATTCTTCTGTTCTTCTTTTGATATATTCTTCGTCCTCTGGTTTGATCCTCAAAAATCTAGCTTTTTGTGATTCGACAAGATTTCTTATCTAAGAAAAGTTAGAAAAGATGAAAACTATTATTATTTAACCAATTATTGATCAATCAGTTAGTCAGCCAGTTGGTAATCCATCCATCCATCCAACCAACCACTCATTTATTCATTTATTTAGACAGTCAGTCAGTCTGTGGACCAGCCAGTCAGACAGACAACCAGACAATCAGTAAGTCAGACATACATACAAACAATGAGACAGTCAGTCAGTCAGTCAGTCTGTGGACCAGCCAGTCAGACAGACAACCAGACAGTCAGTCAGTCAGACATACATACARACAAACAATCAGACAGACTTCCAGTCAGTCAGTCAGTCGGTCTTTGAACCAGTCAGACAGACAACCAGACAGTCATTCAGTCAGACATACATACAAACAAACAAACAATCAGACAGACATCCAGTCAGTCAGTCAGTCAGACAGACAGAAAGTCAGCCAGTCAGACAGACAGACAGACATACAGACAATCAGACTGACAGACAACCAGCTAGTCGGACAGTTAGTAAGTCAGCCAGCCAACAAGCCTGTGTGCATGCAGCTGGACTTTTTCCTCTTATAGTCTATAGGAGAGAAAAGTCTGGCTGCACACAGTCTACCAGCCAGCCACAGCCAGATGACAGTCGGCTGGCTTAATCATGTCAATCAAAGATATAAATAGCAATATTATCAAAACTTACAGGTACAAAGCAATGATCCTGTTGTGGGAATTTATGGAAGAAAACGAAATACACTGTGATCCCTAGCGAAAAATATAGAATCAAGTTTATAACTTTTACGAAACCACTATAATACTAAAACCTTATATTTGGGTATAGTTGGTGCAGAGTTTTCATAAATCGATCAAAATTATAGGAAATCAGCAGATTTCTCATTGTGACCCACCTGTAGCTAATGCTGCGTTAAATAACCTAAACGCTCTCTGATTATTAGGAAATATAAGTGGTTTTAGAAGCTCTTTTTGGCTGGGGATTCCTTTACCAACAGGAATCTTGCCTCCTTGATCCGCCATCTTGAAATCATGTGACCAAACTCCGCGCGGACAAAGTTTAAACAGGAATCCCGCGAGAGAAAAAACCCGGCCGTGTGAAACTGGGAATAGCAAGTTCTTTCCCGCCAAAATTAATATCGCAGAAGAAGAGGGTTTGCTCTTTTTGTTTCTCCTTAAAAAATTCATTTTTTTGGTCTTTTTTTACCTCAAAAACCTCAAGAGTAAGTGTTAACATCATATTTTTCTAATGTAGAGGAATATTTTTAGGTATTGAAGCGTTTTTAGCGAATATTTTTGCCATTCTGGAGCATTCTTTTGGCGATATTTTCGCGCCTAAAATCAAATAACTTATGTACAACATGATTTGATAAATGGATCGAAACTGGTCTTATTCACTCGTCGAAGAAGCTATATGGCTGGGTCTTTACTTGTTTAAGTATTTTGGATATGCACAGTGCTTCTTTATATGAGGGTATAGGGTTTTGTATAAGCTTACGTACTTCAGTGAACTTTGTTCTTCTACGAATCATAAATGGCTTCGACTTTTTCTAAAAGCTACACTTAAAATACGATAAAAGAAAATCCTCAAACCATTTTTTCTCAAAGTTTTGCCAACCTACATCATAAATTAGCCTTCATCCTAAATAACCTACATCCTAAATTAACCCTAATTATCAGGGTTATAGCTAGGATTTTGTTTTCGGAAGGGGGGAGGGGAGGGAGGAGGGCAAAGCCTTTTTTCAGATCATTGGCAAGTATTGAACTTATTATAGTAGTAATAAATTATGCGTTCGGTGTATATATAATGAAGTATAGAGAATAAGAGAAAAATATCAAATGCCTTATATAAATGAACTTATTATGTGACTACTTAGATGTTTAGGTTTTTTACAGCATGAAGCTAAGGGGGGAGTGGAATAACTATAGAATACACCTAAGGAATGTGTGTAGCCTACTTAGTGATTAATTCTTCATATGAATTCTCAGTGTATTTTTCATCGCATCTCTCTGCCTACGAAGCTTACGTGCCTAATGGATGCTCAATGGCCAGACATGAGGACTGGCAACATCCAATTAATCAAGAATTTGATTCTTCATTCTTCAACATGTTTGACTTTATTTTTCTGATTTTTATTTATTTATTTATTTWTTTTTTTTTACAGAGAAAGATGTTAACTGCTGAGGTGATGCCTGTAGAAAACAACAAAACAAAATCCACTGTCAAGGACTTGCAAGAAGCCAAAAAAGTGAAAGCAACCAAGAAGCATGATGAACTTCAGTATCTGGAAATGATTCGTCACATTATGGACAACGGCATTGTTAAAAGTGATAGAACAGGTGAGGTTAAAGGTTTAACATGAAGGGACCACCAGAGTTTGGGTCATGTCCATGTACCAATAGCGCAGCGCAACCGCGACGTCATAAAAATGAAGACGAAGGCGAAATTCGGACAAACAAACTTACAAGTTTACTTTCAGCAGATAATTTTCACAGCCAATCGCAGTTGATCTTAGTTTAAATGGGTTATTATTGTAACTTTAAGTAAAAATAATAAAATCGGTTCGTATAATCCTTGTAGCGGCTAAACAAAATTCAATGTTTGTCTGAATCTTTAAGCTATTTTTAGAATCAGTGCTCTGCGCTATAGACCCCTGGTATTTGGAGCTGGACAAAACAAAAGAATTTCAATCTCATAAGAACTGAATTTGAAACTTATTGTTTTGCCCTCTAAATCAAGCTGCATTCCGACATGCTACGAGGGGTCTATAACTCTTTTATCTTTAATATCATAATTAAGTGTCAGTGTCAGTTTGGCCTTAATTATAAATAGATAATATATGCACATAAAGAGGATGTTRTATTAATCTTTATTGATTTATATCACTATTGATAGGAACTGGAACAAAATCAATTTTTGGAGCTCAAATGCGATTCAGCCTGAGAGATGGAATCTTTCCTTTGCTAACCACAAAGCGGGTCTTCTGGCGTGCTGTTGCAGAAGAACTGTTATGGTTTGTGCAGGGATGCACTAATGGTAATAAACTCAGTGAGAAGAATGTCCACATATGGGATGCTAATGGCTCCAGGGCATTCTTAGACAAACAAGGTCAGTAGATAGAACAATAATACTCAATAGAAGGATTTGTGGCCTTAAAATATTACACCAAAATTATACTGTTTCTGAGATGGTGACCATGATGCATTGTGCTCTAGCTTGTTCATCATGGGTACAAACCTCTTCTGTTCCTCATGTCTTATATGATGTTGTAAGATAGCGAATATGGTGCATTGTGGTCTAACTTGAGCACAAATATCTTTTGTTCACCATGCCTTACATGGTGTTGTGATCATGAGATAGTGAACATGGTGCATTGTGGTCTTGGTTGGGTACTTACATCTTTTTGTTCACCATGGCTTATATGGTGTTGTGAGATAGTGAACACGGTGCATTGTGGTCTAACTTGAGCACAAACATCTTTTTTTTCTTCATGTTGTCTACTGTGTTGTTTGTACCATAGCTAGACTGCAATTCATCCTGTTTATTGACCTCTAAATTTCTCTGGTTCTGAAAACAGGATTGACAGAACGAGAAGAAGGCGATTTAGGTCCTGTATATGGGTTCCAGTGGCGTCATTTTGGAGCTAAATATGTCGACATGCATACTGACTATACAGGCCAAGGTGTGGACCAATTAGCACAAGTTATTCACAAGATCAAGACTAATCCTGACGACAGGCGCATTATTATGTCAGCTTGGAACCCTGTCGGTAAGTTAAGAAAATTCATTTGCATTGGAATTAAATTTTTGGTACTATCGTCATCGTGGGTTTAACCAAGTACTTCATAGGTTTCCAAACACCCATGTGGGACTTTAAAAACTTTTAGTGGATTTTGATTCTTCTCAYCTATAAAAAATCATGAAAAATTTTCAGGAGAAATAACCTGGCATCCTGGGTGCCAAATGAATATTAAAATGTCTATCTCAACCCTAAGCCTTTACCACTCAGCCACAAAGTGAAATTTTCCCTTGGTTTGTCTCTTTTTTCTTTCTTTTTTTTCTTTTTGTCATTTACAATGTAAAACGATGCTTCATTATTGTTTTCACAAAAATATTTATTATAGTATAATATATACTATTGTAGGATATGACTACCAATCAAATGAATTGGCATATCGTAATTTGAATAAAATTCTCCTGACAATTCCTGTACAGGATGATGCTATGATGCTGTCCATCAGTTCTTAGTTTTTATTTCGTTTCTCTTTTTTTTTAGATTTACCTCTTATGGCTTTACCACCATGTCATTCCTTTGTGCAGTTTTATGTTGCTAATGGAGAGCTGTCCTGTCAGTTATATCAGAGATCCGGAGATATGGTAAAAATTAAACCATTCATGTATTTATAAAAAAATTTCACAAAAAACAAGAAGGTTATTTTGTTGCTGAAGAATAATGTGATAAAGAGGTTTTGCACCACAATGTGCCGGTGCCCATAATACGGCTTGGACTGCCTGTGGTTAGATGACAGAACAATAAAATCCCTTTGCTCTTGGGAATTAAATTCTTTCACGTGTAAAGTGATTGTGTCATTCCTTCCGTCATGTTATGGTGCAATGCATCTATATGCATGATTAAGTAAGTAAATAGTAGAGTCATCAGTCCACTCATCTTTCTTTATAGGGTCTTGGTGTTCCATTCAATATTGCAAGTTATTCGCTGTTGACATATATGATAGCTCATGTTTGTGAATTGAAGGTACCTGCAACTGCATTTGTGCTTAATAATATTTATTAAATTTGTTCATTTGACTAGTTTTAGCAAAAGATGATTCAAAGCAACCCGCAACCTCATCTCAGGATTTTCAATTTTCAAACTTTTGAATTTCTAACTTCATACAGAGGTGTTGCTACCACTTAAAGAAAAAAAACCTTTAAATTTTAGGCTGAATGGAAACAAAAATTTCATAAAAAACATTTGTTCAAATTTTGTGGCTCTTCTCTTACTAGAATTGTGTAGTTCCAAAAAATATCCATACCCCCTCACGGAGGAATTTTTTTCAGACACCCTCCTACCCCCCAGAAATTCCAATTTTCTTCCATATAAACTTGACTGTAATTTTTGTTCTTTTTCTGATCCCCTACTCTCTGGAAATTCCAAATTCCTCAGTGGGTTGGGTATGGATGATTTCTGGAACTACACATTATCCTAAAACATTTTTAAACCTTTTAAATTTTAGCCTGGTGACTTTGTTCATACTCTTGGAGATGCTCATGTTTATCTAAACCACTTTGATGCTCTGGAAGAGCAGGTTAGTAGAGTATTGTTACTTTACAGTCAAACCACCTCAAGCGTGAACACGTAGAGGTCATTAATGACTTTATTTTTGGATTCTTGAATTCATTATTCGATTCGAACATTTGTTATTGAAAACAAATCTTCAAAGCCTGGCATATACAAAAGCCAAGCATATATGCAACTGAAATGCAAAAACAACTTTTTGTGCAAGGAATATGTAATATTAATGAATTACCTTCTGTTTGCGCTATAAACAAGAGCCTACAAGCCAAGTTAATCGAATTTTCAAATTTTTTTTTTTTTTTTAAATATTGAAGATTTGTTTTCATTAATGAATCTTCAAATCGAATAATGAAATAAAGAATCCAAAAATAAAGTCATTAATGACCTCTACGTGTTCACACTTGAGGTGGTTTTACTTTAAAGCATTTTGCATTATAGGGTCATTTATTACCACTACTAGAATCCCTTGCATTTTCTCTGTTGTTCAGTTAATTATCACCAACAGACCTTTGTTGTGTTGCTATGTTTTCCCATTACAGGCCACGTGCCATTCCCTAGAGAATAATTTTCATTGATTGAGTTGTAAATCCATATTCATGTCTTCTCTTGGCAAGCAATAGACAAAGAAATGATGACCTAGGGAATGACATGTTGTCTTAAATGGAAAACCATTGCGGCATGGCCAATAAGGTCTATTGTCATACCTTGAATAAGAAAAATATTTTAAAAAGCATTCTTGTAGTGGGTAGTAAAATGATGTCAGTTTTTAAGACTTCAAGGCAGTGGACAGAAAGCTTAACAATGTAACATTTTTTTCCCCTTCACAGCTAAAGCGTGAGCCTCGCCCATTCCCAACTTTCAAGATAAAGCGTGAAGTGAAGGATATTAATGATTTTAAATTTGAAGACTTCGAAATAATGGATTACAAGCCACACCCAAAGATAAAGATGGAGATGGCTGTATAAATAGAAGAACAGGAAGAATCTAATTTCATTCACTAATATTGCACTACTTGTATATTACTATAGTCATTGTTTGCTCCTTTTCATAATTTTGTTCCTTCTTCTAGCAGTAATGATGTATATAAAATTTTTTGTAAATTTTGTAATGTTTCAAATATTGTTAAAACTGAAAAGAACAGCACATTGACTCATGCACCCACAGTCTGAATGGTCTGAGTCTATAGCTCATGCCAAATAAGCCATTGACTTAGACCATCAGTGTGAAAGGTCTAATCTCTTACTAATAGGTCTAATGAATACCCCAGGGGGTACTCCCCTATATTCGCTATACGGGTACGTGCCGCCAAACAGGGTATGGTTTTCAGCAATCCTACTCTGGAACAGGGTATATAAAATCGCGATTGCTCTGGAACAGGGTATATGAAATCACGCTCTCTCCTCTCTGGAACAGGGTATCCATTTTCACAATACTGGAACAGGTTATGATTTTCAACGATTTTACTCTGGAACAGGGTCAGGGTTCAGAGGGTTCAGCTGCACATCCCTACTCTAAATGGGCAAGAGTACCCCCTGGGATGAATACAAACAGTGTTAAAATTAGGTTGAAATAATTTATTTTTGCCCTCTGCTTTTCGCTACTAGTGGTCTAGCACCAATACATCACTAGTAGCTCGGCCAACCAGAGTGGAGGATTTCTGATAGTCAGACCATTGGTATATAGGTATACACTTATAAAATTTATATCCTGTAAAATAAATATATTGCAGTCAATATAATTATTAAGGTGTCGTTAAGCCTGATTACAGCATGAGACATTCAAATATCAAATTTTGTTATCAAATGGTATACATTTTAAAATTTTCTTAAAGTAAGGACAAAGCACAAATTATCTAAATGTAGCATATGAGTGGGGGGAAAAACTGACAAAAAGTATATATTTGTTATATTTAGTAGTCAAATAGACACAAAAGAAAACGATGGAAATACGACTTACTAACCTGTATTACCCTACAGCTGTACCCTGGCAGGCCAAAAATTCAATCATTAGCAAAAGCAAGAATTGGGTTACCTGTGGGTTATTGTTTACGTGTCCTGGCCTTTTCCGGTGCTCTTGTCTAGGTACGTGACTCATTCGAACAAATAGCAAAGATATACATGCAGAAAATCATATCTAGATGTGAGAGATAACAACCATTTCACGACATAAAACACATTTGTTTGACTATAAACACTGTAGGAGAACCTAACTGGTAAGTCAGTGTTGGATCTTAAGAATTGTTAGTTTTATTGAAGCGAGTTTTTAAACGTGTTATGCAATTTGAGAGAAAAATGATCAAAACGAGCTTTGCATGTCTTTCTATCTTTTTTTTTTTTATGTACGTAAACATTACTGATAGATTATCAGCTTTATCCTGTAATAATAGATATTCTGAATCCCTTCTGTTCATATGCATGTTCTATCTCTGTATGTAGGTAGTTAAACATAATTTGTAGTTAAGAGAAATGATGTATGGAATCTTTCGTGAATCAAACACGCCAACAATTTCGTATCTTTTCTTTATTCAAGTCTCTTAGCCTATGAGATCATATCTTAGACGTCCGTGTTAAAGAGTTTTTCATTAGAAAAGCACTTAGGTTATGATCTATACATTTTGAATTCATGTAGGGAGCGAGTGTTGGTTAGAAAATACCTAAATTTCTGGGATACATTTAGGCTATGTTTAAGCGCTTGCTTTTAAGGAGCTCTTTTCATTTCTAAAGAGAGCGTTTTCACTCAGACACGTGACAAGGCAGCCATATTGTTATACCAAACAATAGTAACTTCCTGCACAGTTTTAGCATAAGAGTAGAGTTTAATTCCCCAAGGATAGAAAATGCATTGTTTTGGTACACCAACATGGCTTCTGTGACCTAATAAGCCTGAAGCAAGATGATGTTTTACCCCCGTCTCTAGACCATAATCCTTTTCACATTGCTTTTGTTCTTTAATTATGACTATTGTTCCTGTATTCTCTAAGGAATCAAAAATTTTAATATGAAAGAATTTTAAAAACTATTATGGTATAGAGTGGGGGGTAAAACGTCATCTCGCTTCAGGCTTATTGACACAACTGTTGGATTTAAGGGATGTAAGATCATGTGACCAAGGGAGAGGCTACGTAGCAAGCAGTTGATGTAATGTCTTCATAAAAATGCAATGTGAATCACACCTAACACGATAGATAGAACGACAATTAATTACAATAGATTTTCTTAATACATTGCATCAACTGAATGCTATATAGGTTCTCCCATGTGACCAAGCTGTCATTACATAAGGACAAAGGAAGCACAGGTGATGTAGCAGTAAGTTTGCTAGCCTCTCACCAATGTGACCTGGTCTAGAGCCCTCTGTGTTGTATGCGAGTAGAGTTGATTGTTGGTCATGCCTCAAGGTTTTTCTCCCTTGACAAAAATCAACTTCCAAGTTCTAATTTGTAAATAAGGTATGGGGAATCGCTCTGGCCAGGGTTAAGCCCAAACCAGAGCGCGCAATGTAAATTCAAACCCGTCTTCATTAAGGGTGGATGGGTCACTTCACTTTCCTGATGGTGACTAAAGCCAAATGCATTGGGATGGGACATACTCCTTATTAATAACCAATCCAAATGGACTTTGAATAGTGATATGTTTGTATAATATATAATGACAAAATGTCTTAAATCTATGTATTATTTTCTCATTTCAGTAAATTTACATCTCTGAATTTCTTTTGACCATTTCAACTCTACATTATTGGAGTTGAATTAAGCTCATACCCAAAGGACAAGATGTCAAATAACTTACGCTATGCAGTTAAACATCTGTACCGACAAGTAAGTCACAGGGAAAAGGTTTCATGCTTTGTTTTTGACCTCTTTAAAGGCTTTTACTTTATGGAGAAATGAATGAGCGAGTGAATGAATAAATAAATAATGAATTAAGATTAAATGATAGACTTATGTTTGAGGCTTTCGCATTCAGACATAATATTAAATGTAAGATTACGGATAAAACATGTAGATTTTTTAAGAACATGTTAATTCGGCTCCAACTAGTGAATGAAAATTTTTATGAAAATGGGATTAAATAAATGAAATAATGAATTAACGAATGTAAATGTAGTCAGTAAGTTAATATCTGATTAACCATGCAATCAACTGATCATGATTGATTGATCGATGGGCTTGCAGAATAACTTTCAGACTGTTTGACGTTTGTATTCAATTTCTATTAAATCATTGGTTACACATGATGTGCCGCCCTTGATTGAATAAATGCTGCCCCCAAATTAACGCAGCTTACGAAACCCAAAAAAATAATAAGCGCAGCATCACTTAAACAAGTAATTACGGTACTTAAAAATTAAGTAAGGTGATAATTTTATATTGTTTTTATTATTTTAGTTGGTATACCTTGGAAGAGATTACCCTATGGGAGAAAAATACTTCAAGGAAAAACTAAAGAAAGCCTTCTTTAAAAACAGTGAAGAGTCAGACCCAGAGAAAATCAAAATGCTGATTGCTCGGGGTGAATATGTCGTAAAAGAAATTGAAGCTCTGTACATGTTGAGAAAATACAGAACTCTGAAAAAACGATATTATTCAGACAACCATTAGAATCGAAGAAGGAGAAGAAGAAGGAGAAGAAGAAAAATGAAGATGGTCTTGCAATTGAGACGATTTTTGGTTGACAAAAAAAAACATTTTTGGAAAAGGTGAAGAAAAATTCAATAGTGGTTGAACATTACTGGAAGAAGAAACCACACTTCTTTTGATTTTTTTTTTTCAAATCAGACCAAAATTTTTGTCGCCAGGAAAAATCTTCACAATTTCTGTGAGGTGTAAAAATGGGAAATTCTTATAACATATTCAAAAGCATTTCATATCTTGGTGAACACCAGAAAAAAAGTATTGATAACACCATGCAAATGCATATGCAAAATAGAAAAATTCTTTTAGGCCAAGTCAAAAAAATACATGTTTATCGTCCGGATTTCTTAAAAAAAGAGCGCGTGTGGGCGGGTTTTTTWATTATTTACTGACTTTTTATTAAGTAAAGGTAACGCAAATTTCTCTTCGTACCAAATTGAGGGAGACTGGGTTCGAAACGAAAATAGCACCTGTTACTTTTTCTTGTTTCGATTTTAAAAAACTAGGTGGAATAACAAATAATGATTAAAAAACAGGCGGCCCAAAAAGATGAAGCAGCCGGGGACGATAAACACAGGCATCCCAGACCTCCTATATATCCTATATATCCTATAATTTGTATAGGATCCTATAAAGAGCCTATATTTAAAGAAAACCTCCCATATTTCCTATAAATAGGACGACTGCTGAGTGATACATTTACATTTTACACTGGTTTTTTTTCTTTTTTCGGTTCTATCTTTTTTATGGCTTATTTGGTTCTGCAAATAAATCATTGCCTGTACCCTCCCTGCAAGATCCCTGGTTACGTCACTGAAAAGCTATTTTAGCTCCTATAAAGTGCATATATTTTTGGGAAAAACTCCTATATTTTCCTATATTTAGAACTTGCACAGCCTATATTTCCTATCAAATTTGTCTAAAAAGTGGCTGGGATGCCTGTAAACGTAATTTTTTTACTTGGCCTTAAAAAAACTATTTGTAAAATTTTGGGTGAAAGAAATTGTTGTTTCAAAAGTATTGAATGAACACAAATAATTTCTTTTCCATTTCTTTGTAACATATTTTCCAAGTTTTTATTGTAAGATGATTTTAATTGTCAAATGTTTTACGATATTGGTGGGACTTCTGACATTTCCTTCGCAACAGTTGCGTGTGGTCTCCACTTCCTATCCAGTTGTAGCACAGGTAGCCCAAGCTTTGTTTCTGTGGTGTCATGTTGTAAGGAAATGTATGGGGATTCATTAAAAAATTCAATAAAATCATTGAAACGTGAAATAAAGCATCGAAATTTTACCCGATCATTGAGAAATAGCACTTCCTTCGCTCTGTGTGGTTATTTTTTTGATTTAGCCCGTTTTAAGATTTTCTCCCCTCCCCTCTTATTTCTTACTTTTTTGCAAGCAGAATTAACTAAGTTTGTTCTTAGTTTACAAAATGCTAGCTAAATGGTGAAAAATCCATGCTCGATCGTTATCGTCGGTTGGGAATTTATTATTTTGTTAAATCAAGGACACGCTATCTTTGTACAATAAAACGAAGTGGTTTTCGAGTTGTCTTGGATTGATCTTTATAGAAGATTTCATGCATCCTTCAACACCATGAAACCTGACCAAGAATACAATACATCCTGCAACACCAAGAAACCTGAC